TACAACCACTTGAATGGATAGGTGGATTTCCACCGGGGGGACGTCCACCTGGTTCCAAATCTACCCCCGATCTACCTGGTTGTTTGACCAGGTGGAAAGGGGGTGGACGTTTAGTATGGGTAGTGTGTGCATTTTCCTCTCGAATGGAATTTTTTCCAGAACCATAAATTTAAAGGCATAGGTGAGGGGGCGGAATTTAAGCTTAAAGAGGGCGAAATTTGTCTGATTTACCCTGTCAACATAGATCATTCATTGATATGATCGAAAATCACCTTCAAAAAGACCATCGACCATTTATCGAGTGAATCCCCGTTAACTCCAGTTCACCCTGCGCTCATGACTCAAGTAATAAAAAGTCGTTAGCTAGGAAAAACGAATCGGACGCTCGACTCCAAAGATGGCAGGACCACATCGGACAAATGAGGAACCGATCTCGCAATGAGGGTCTGCTTTTTTGAGTCTCAGATATTCGGCATCTAGTACTGCATGCTACTTCGTAGTTCTCGAAAATACTCGGAAGACTACATAGAATTTATTCTCACTTTCGAAGCGCTTTCCATGGATTTTTCTTTTCACCTTTAGTACGTCCACAAAATTACTTTATTTAATTAAATTAGCTTAACTAAAATAAGTTTTAATCATCGAAGAAAAATAGGATCATTGTTTTATTTCAATTTTCACCATTTTTGGCATTCGGCTCCACCATTCGCTAAATTAAAAAAAAAACTGATCTAGAAAAGCAGATATGCAGTTAAAAAAGACCGTTCACACTTGAATTACTTAACAGGTTGGCAGAATACAGCTAGGATATTTAGGAACATTGAACCATCTCTCATTTCTTCGGTTTCGGAATAGAAACTTTTGGATCTCCCTCGTATCTCATCTGATGATACTCACAGTCCTACGGCTAATTCATCCCCTCACAGATGCACATGAAAACAAAATAAGATAGCATTTTCTTTTGCAAAAGCGTTTACAGGCAAATACGAGCTATAGCGTTACAACGTTGGAAACCTCGAAATCGTGGTAGGGAGTCAAGTTACAACAAATATCCGGTAGATATCAAACGCGGTTTGGTTAAAATGTGGGTGACCTCTTTTTTGCCCTTTGACCCCGTTCTGCCTTACCATCTCCGAGATAGAATTTCGCTTCGGAATGTGAATAACGATGAATTTCCTATCTTAAGATCGTCTTTCTTGACCCATCCGAACCGACAGAATTCCATATTCACGATCTATTTACCATACATAGTGTGTCTTATCGCGAGTCGACTCTAGCTATTTTTAAAAGAAACTTCGCTTCAATCGTCTGGAGACCGTGGGCAGCGATTGAAATAAGGCCGAGAGGAGGCGGCCGGTAGTTTGCAGAAATGCTTCACGCAATTTTTTGTCGCTTGTTCGAGAACGCACAAAGGAATTTGGCCGTTCTTGGGAATGCGTGCTCAATTTCTCGATGTGGGAAAGCTTCTCGAGGGCCTGGAAGAAGCAAGCGATTCCTGGGAACTCATTGATACTGGAGAATATCAGATTTTTGCGTAGCCATATGGAAAACAAAATCTTGCTGAAAATTGAATTCGCACTCGCATTTAAGGTTACGTTCCTTCCAGAAGTTAAAAAAGGGCGGAAATTGTAAAAGGGGAAGGAATCTACCGTAGGGGGGGGGGGGGAGGGGGGAAGAGTAAACGGCGACATAGACTTTTGACTTACGAAGTACCCAATGACCCTTCCGTTCTTTATGTGTGCACTAAGCGACATCTTGCATCAGTATCAGGTCCTGTGACAGCTATGCATTTTTTGTACCTCGTAAGGTACATTATACGGTATGCGACCATAATATAAATTTCACCTGCGCGTGGACTCTACCATCGGATATTAGGGGTGTCCCAAGACTTAAAAAATTTTTTTTAGAGTATGTCATCTTCGGAAATAGATTATTTAGATAGGATACGCAGAAACGTGTGACTATGGAAACTTGATTAATCTTCAAGAGGCTACGTTAATCTACGTGGACCAGAACGTCAACAAAAAGTGGAGATTTTTTTAACGTGTACGCAGGGGGCTGAGGGGGGAGGGGAAGAGGGGAGCGGGGAGGGGAGGAGGGGAAGGGGTAGGGGGGGAGGAGAGGGCCTTGACTCATCAGGGGTATCGCGTCTGCAATGCTGGGATCGTCAGGAGAATCAACCATTCCAACTTCCAAACGACTTTCTTTCTAAGTTCCAAGAGACCGCGTCGGAACTTATATGATTGTTTCTCGTTTCCTGAGGGCAGAAGAAACATTTGAGATCGTTAAGGCCCTGCCAGGCAAGTACTCCTTGCTACCTTACTACCATAGCAAGTACTCGCTAGCGAGTGGGCGAATGCGGTGTTACATCAAGCGAGTACTCGTTAGCGAGGATTTACCGTTTACTCGCTTCAAACTGCCAGCCATCTATTTCATGAATGGGGTATTAGCTTTTTTTGAGCACCTATGTGCGGATGTCGATAAGAAATATGCAGGAATGATGGCTGCTAGTAGAGTGGAATTTCTCAACAGTCACGGTGGATCTAGTCGATATCGTGATGGCAAGCCGACTGTCAATAAGGCTTTGAAGACCTCATAAACGGCTATAAGAAAAGGCCGTTTCTTTGGAACGTCAAATTGAAGGAATACCACGACATGACTATGAGAGAGCTACCCTTCCTAAGAGTTTCTGGTCTTCCTAAATTCGAAGAAAGCCAGCTACATGATTTGTGCTAGACCCTCTTAGGTCCGGCACCAAACGGTTGTGCGCCCCCAGAGTAGAATTTAGACGGGTTCCGACGATGCCCTAGCTTCTACTCTATTACGCCTCTTCCGCTTCCTGATGATACCATACGACAATATGAGGGCAGCAGCGACCCCGGCGTTGAACGGCGACTGGTATGGACTCGTTCCGAACTCATACCAGGCGCTTCGCGCTGACCTTTTCAGCTCCTGGCATGGGAGGAGTGGGGCTCCATCTTAACTTGAGGTTGCCTTTTGATTGGTTCTTTCTAGCGAGTACTCTGAAGTTTGAAATCTTTCAAACTCGTAACGAGTGCTAGCGAGTGAAGTGTTACACTAAGCAAATGGCCTTAATGAGTGCTAGCGAGCACTCGTCAAGTGTAACGAGGCTTTTAAAGGTGTGACGGAAAAACAGAGCGTGTCCATTCTTCGTCCAACTAGTTATTAACTCGGTCGAACATTTTTATCGGTACCTTTAGTCAACACGTACATGAGCCTTAGCTTGCAGTTTTACAGTTGGCTGAGACCGGCTTACGGTCGGGCATGTCCGGTTGGCCCTTCATTGGGCCGATCGCAGCTCACGGTTGAAAATTAGCACATGCCCGCTAATAATTCAGTGATGAACTGACTTACCACGGAGCGGAAAATATATTGAAAAAGCATGAAATTGCATCTATTATGCATCTTGGAGAGATAACTATTTGGCGAAAATCCATCTCATAATTTCCCTGCTTGTCTTCATCATCTGGGTGATATACAAGTACTATGTCAGTGATGTCTTTTTTAAATCCATGATTCATTCCTTAAATATTAATCCCTTACCACGACCAGGCCTGTTGGATGAGTACCAGGAGCGTTAACAGTCCCATATTGTCACGAGCTGACAAATTAAAGACTTTCTCGGTTACAATCGGAGAAGACATTTCATGTCACCCCGTGTGAATACAATGAGACTAGTGCAGGGATACCCCTAGTGCAACCCGCGGAGTACTTGTGTGAGACATAGCGGGCAATTTGGAAAAATACAAAAGAATGGAAATGGAAAAGATAGGGTCGCACACTGGGAGGGGGAGTGTTCTTAGCATTATTCGAGCAGACACATTCTCCTAAATAAATAAAAAATACTCCTTATTTATTTTTAGTATTTCCATCTGATCCGCGAAGCCCCGGTTTTTCTGCTTATGAAATTGCAGATGAATAATAAATAATTTGGCCGAGTTTTAAAATTTTTACTCGCTGCTTCAAATGCAGCGAAACTTTCAAGTAAAGTAAGAAAAATCGCAGTGAAGAAGGAATTTCCACGTTGATCCTTCCAACTTTGCACGAACTGATATGGCCGAGTGCAGACAGCAGGCTGTCCAAGAGATTAACTTGATCTTTCGTCAATTTATCTTATGTACAGGGTGTATCAAAAGTCCGCACTCAAGGGTATTTTGAATTAATGAAAATTTTCAACGAATGAGTGCGCCAAAATTAGTACAGAGGTACAAAGAAATATTCAGAGGGAGTTACGCGCCAGAATAGATATGTGTATGCAAGTTCATGGCATGCAATTTGAACATTTAATGAAATACAGGTAAAGAGTGAAATCTGCCTATGAGTCCGGACTATTGATACACCCTGTATAAATACGATTGCTTTGGATTTTTTTTAAATGCTAAATATAATAAATTCCACCGACACCGAGCAAACCAAATTTTTTTTGTACATTACATCTCAGATATAATGAGCTTCAGAAAAGTTTGAGAAAAATCATTTGTATTGCAACAAGAACCGCGATGACACAAGATCACAAGATAAGAGGCATGAAAAAAACAATCTGTTGACTGAGACCGTCTGTTTCCTAAGTTCCGCAGTTTTAGATAACAAACCAAAGCCACGTACTTGACGAGGAGCAGCAATATGCAGATTGCCTCTTCATTACGATTTACACGGTTTTAACTTGGTAAAATTATTGCAATTGAAGTACAGGGTGACTTTTTTAAGTTGGCGGAATCTTATATATCTGAGATGTTACGAGTAGAATATGAAACTCGCACTATATCGATGAAGACATGCGTTTCAAAAATTTAACTGCCGCATTTCTTGACTCAGTGTAGACTCCTAAAACTTTCGCTCGCCCTCCCCCCCACCCATACTCCTTGGCCATACAGCAAAAATTTTCGATTTTGCGGCCTGTGAGTCTGCTGCATACAGGCTTGACGGTCTCAATCACTAAAAACGTTGGGCTCTAAAGCTACAGTAAACACGACTATACACTACCTGGCCTGTTCGGTCTCGCTGGACTGAGAGGATCTCAGCTTGGTGACCAACACCCTGGTGATGTTGAGCAAGAAGAGGAGATTGATGATGATGAATGCCAATCGAGGACCCTCCAAGATCCAGTAATACCGCGTCAAGTTGTAGCTGAACCAGCAACTAAATTCGAGGATTCGGGAAAAACACCACGAAGTTTAGTCATTCGCGTGTTGTTTTCCTATCCCTGAGCCGAATTCGAAATGTTCAATTTTGCTGCACGAACCTGGATTCGGTGAAATAGAAGCCGGTGATGGTCGCCCAAACACAGGTGAGAAGGACCGGGATCCCCCAACCCACGAGAAGGTATATCGTCATCCGGCGAGAGCCTCCGTCGAATACCTTCACGACGACCATGTTGTGAATGTGAATCCCCTCCAGGAACATCCACATGAACATCGCCGTCTTCCCATATTCCAATAGGATATATAGTCCCTGGCAGACGATCTCCTGCAACATCATCGCGCAAATGGGTTTTTCAATTAACATCCGTCGGAATGGAAGAGGAACACTCCCCTCTCGGAAATAAATAACAGGTTGGACAGAATTCGAAAAGGAGGGAAAGTTCCCAGGTATCGAGGTACGTAGGATGTGTGCACGATCGATATGCCGAAAATAGAGTATCATACGGTTCTTCGAAGATTGAAGCCACATACACGAAATCGCGCGATGAATTAGTTCTCCGATGAAAAACACGTGAAGAGACGCAATCTGCCCGAGTCAATATGTGGGCTCTCCACCCTTCTCTGATGCAGTCATCCAATTTATCCTTGCATACCTTCACGGGTTCCCTCAAGTTAGGCTTTACAAACGATATCCTACCTATGGAGGCTCTCTTAAAAGGTTCGTCGGTCTAAAAGAGCTCGAGGAGTCTCGAGAGAGGTAACGTCCTCTTTTAATTCAAGGGAGATAGAAGGACTTTCTCACTCTTCCGTTATTAAAAGGCGCGTTTTTAGCAGTGCAAGTTCTTTTTATCCATTCACCCTCGGGACGAGGTGGGATCTCCTAGGTTTTCATCATTGTTGGAGACAGTTCTCATTTTCCAGGAACCCAAGCGAAATTTCATATCGCCGAAATTGCATGTAAAGTGGCATAATTGTGAATGCTAGAAACATGAAACGCGACCAACAACACCAGAACCAAAGAAATACGATCCTCCCAAATATTGAGGAGATGGAGAATTAAGTGCACTGCAATAGAAAATACGAGGTAGATCCTGAAAATGAGCAGGTTTACTCTAGAAATCTTACTCCAAGGCTTTCTTGGAAGTTTCTTTCCTTCCAATATAATTTGGCATGTTTTTTTTTTCTTCAAATCTTTAATGCCGTGTCTCAGTGAAAAGAAGTAAATTTCTAAGGAAGCCATCCTACAATTTCACCCAGAATGACGCCGATGACCTTCGTGGAACGAGAACGTTGAGATCCTTGAGAACGAGAGATCGATCGGTGACGGCCGACACACAAATCGTATAGAAAAAATTTGGTCGCATCGGGGTAAACGGTAGAAGAAAATTAGACGGTTTGTTTTTAACGCTGAGGAATGTGGGGAACCGATCGGGACTCTTGGGGGTGCACGTGCAGCCCTCACGTAGCAGAGGTTCGGCAGTCGGCGAAGCTCACTCTCGCTCCCCGATTCAATCCTACGATAATGTGCAATATCGATATCCTACTACACGAGGTACATGCTTCGAGTGCGATCTCGGCGATGAGGGCGAGAGGAACGTACGGTATTATCCAAAGTCCTCCGGGAGGGATCGTACTTGGAGACGAGTTGGTCCATGTAGATGGTGAGACGAACCAAGATCTGCATCAACATCCCGACGAAGAGGTTCATGTGGATCCGAGTCCTCTCGTTCCTCAGACTCCTAATAGATCATCCATCCGTCAAATATACCGACGTGTATTCGTGTCGTTTCGAGATGATAATTCGATATGCGATCGCACGAGGGAGGTGAAAATCATTCATTACTCCCGAGTACGAGAGAAAAGGTAATTGGGTGGAAGGAAAGGAAGGTGGAGGAGGACGAGGAAAAGAGAGAAAGGAAAAAAGGTCACGAAAGCGCAAGGTTTAATTAATGGCATGGGGGTCTCGGAAGCAAGGAGGATGACAAAGGCCTCCATTATTACAGGTAGTGGAAAAGATAATCGTGCAGAAAGATGCATGAAGTGCGACCTGAACGAGGCGAAAATGACGAGGGCGGAGAGGATAGACACCAGACTGATGCTGAAACCGAAATTCTCCATGACTCGGGTCCTCTGGGCGATCTGAAACTTCCCCTGGGAAATCCACAAGAAACCCTCTTAATATCATCGACGGCGGCTCCGACAAAGAAGGAAAAACGAATCACGATATAGTGTTGAATCGAATCTCTGAATGCAATTTGCACCTTGCGTCTTTGAGTTATAGATTTGATTCGATTTGAGAAAGAAAGTGATTTATTCTGCGATTAGAATAAAATCGTTGAAATCGTGAATTGAACAAAACCAATTGTGATTTTAATGAAAAACTCACAACCTGAATAAGCAAGAAATCAGGTAATCGTGTGACCGGGCATGCAAAATGAGCATTACGCTACCCTCGAACTTGAGAAACGAGCATTACAAATGTGGGCTTCCTTTTTTTCTTCTACTCGTATCCATATCGATCGATTTGTGAGAAGCTCTCCTCTGGTGCTTGAGTCATTGAATGAGGGGGTTATCCTTTTTGGTCACTCTTTCTTTCAAGTATTACATCATCCGATTCTGTCGGCATAAAAACCATGCATTAACATTATGGAAGTCTAACTTGAATATTTTCTTGAAGGTGATGCAACTTTCCGCATCGCTGGCTATAGTTACCGATTAGGGACCATATAAGCATCGATCCCATGCATCCGTAGGGACAAAGCGGATTGCAAGTTGGACCCCGAGCGTCTCGTCGACCGATCTATGGATGCAATATTTGCGAATGGATGGTAAAAAGTTCGGATGGAGGAAAGTCTGTACCTCGGGGTTGTCGCCGGAGTAGACGGTGTCCAGCAGGCCCTTGATGGGACTGGGGAGGCAATCCCTGTAGTCCGTCCATCCGCGACCGCTCTCCGATCCGTTCGAATTCAACCACGTGCCACCCGATGAACATTCCCTCTTTGCGAACTCTGCACGGAAAGGAACGAAATAAATTGGATGGGAAATTCGGAGCGATGGAGCAACGGAGGAATGAAAGGGGAAATTGAAGTCGACGATCGACAGATTCCAGACTTTGCGGTATCTTTCGGCATTCCGGAGATTTTCTTTCCGGGTATTTGTACGATTTGACTTTCATTGCATCTCTTCGTTTCCGAGACTCAACCCCTGGCGTGTCATCGGCTCGATTAATAGGATCTTCCTACTTTTTCCGTCCCTACAATCTCGATGCGTTTTTTTTTCCTATTTCGCCCCTCGTGGCTCGCCAAGAAACGCTTTCTTCGAGAACGTGACTGCAAGGGAAATTCAATTATTCCAGAGGTTTGACTCGAACCCCGAGTTAATTGCATTCCCGTTGTTTGCCCATCGGATGTTCTTCCGCATCGGAAAGGGTTCCTTTATACGTTTTTCCATCCCTTTTTGGCTTCCGTGATGATCGGGGATGGGATCCCAACCCCGCGAGACCCATCACGTGCGATTGCGATCCATCGATCCACTTCCATGCAGTGACAAAAGGCCATACATCACGACGAGCCATCGCGATGGAAGGAGCGTGGAATCGGCCATCGATCGAATGCGAGAGAGAGAGAGAGACAATCGTCGGTGGCCGTCACGACCGGGGAAAGGCTAAAGAAAGGACAGGTGGGAAGCAGAAGAAAGTATCGCAGTGTGTTTACTTCCTAATTTCCTCGTCGTGGAGGACATACGCGTCTGGACGATCGCGATATGGAAACCGGATCCCTTCTCTTCTTTTCTAACCGTCTTCGATCGCTTCTCGTAGCCGTATCGTCGCATCTCGTGCGCAACGGATTCGGCGTCACGGAGTCCGGTCGTCTCGGACCCTTGGGACGGGAATTTCACGGAAGAAGAGAAAACTCATTTCCGAAGAAGCCCCTATCAGAATCCATATATTAAAATTTGCGACTTCCAGTCGATACGTCAAGTTCCGAGCTTCCTTCCCTGAAGGCTCTCGAAATTTGACAGTCCTTCAACTTTCATCTCCCCCCCCCTCCCCCCCTTGCTACAAGAGAAGCTGTAGGAACACGCGCTGAGTTTTCCAATCCTGTAGGTTCCTTCTTCCTTTAATGAGGAATCTTATTAATGGCTAATGTGAAAAAATGATATGTTGAGATTCCAAACGTACGATTTTCACGTCTTCATTCATTATATTACCTATGAAATATGAAAAACCCAGGGAGTCCAAGGGCAGCAACCTTTGATTGGCTTTATTCATTCACGAAGGCCGATATCCGTAAATGATTCAGGATGAGACTTGATCCTCGCGATAACTTTTGCCGTTGCCATCGATGAAACTCTGGATATGGCACGCAATCTTGGCTCGTACGATATTTTTTCGCATTCACCCTTCTGCTAAATGGTTCAACTTTGAGTGATGAACCTATGCTACTTCTTGGAAAGCGCCCCAATACGTTTTGCGGTTGATCTCCTGAAATCTGCGATGGCTCCTTATGTTGAGTCCTTTAGATTGCACTCACGTGCAAATCTATACTTTATCCTGAAAATGATGAATATTAGTAAGTATTTTTCTCGCTAGCTCTTGAGGGTGAGCGAGTTATGTCGAAATGACTGTCCTCTGTAAGCCATTATTTCATCGGACTTCAATTTCAAGATGTTCATTTTGGCTCTTTTATATGACTATCGATTGTTAATGGCAGCTAGCAAGCGCTAAGTTCAGAACTCAAAAGCTCTGCGAACGTGACAAGTTCGTCCTAGAGATGAACATTAACATTTTCACCATAGAGCCAATGCGATGCGTAAATATTTGTATTTTGCCCAGTACGATGAAGTGCTGATCGAACGAAGCATGAACCACAACCATACGTATACCTGGGTTCTGTTTACCCGGAGTGCCAAGCAAGATCCACGCCGTCGTGAAGAATAAAGTGCCGATGCGTTTAAGGAGTTCAGTCTTTCATCGACGCGTGATAACTGCGGAGACGCGTGGATCCGAGACTCGGTCGTCCACGAAGGAGAAGCTGAGACCGTGGCAGGGAGGATCAACAGATTCAAGCTCCGAACGACCGAAAGGAAAAAAGAGAAGAGATACGAATGGAGGACGTGGCGGCACGTTACGATGTAGGGGGGAGCGGGCCTCGACAGAGCACGTGGCAGTCACGAGTCCCAAATCACCGATCGACTAATTTCCTGAGGGGGAACATGCCCAAGGGGAAGAAAAACCCTAAGATGGAAAGACGAAATAAGAAGTTTCAAAGGAATCGAATGGATAGGCATCAGCCGGGAGTAGCTTGCATGTTTCGCTCGACGGTGGACAGTGGCGCATCGCCATCGTGCCAGACTTCAATGATGTTGAAAATAAAACAGGGGTTTTGGGGGAAAGTTGGAAGTCAATTAAAATGATATTAACCTCGATGACTTCTTATAATCGTGACTTAAACGGTCTATTAACCTAAATGGCAGTCCAGTTTCGTGTAGTTTTGCTTTCCCTACGTGTTCCATCCAATCGACACTCCATTAGGTATATTGGATTTCTGGGAGTTCTTTTTGTCTCCGAAGGGATTAGATTTTGAAAGTCCCTCCTCGATAAAGCGTATGTTTATGGCCGGAGGAGTGGAAACGCAAAAAAGGGAAGACGTGGGGTTAAAAAGGGAAAGAAATCGACGGCGCGAAATCCTCCTTCCTCGCAGAAGGACGTCATCGACAGGATGAAGTCCTCCCCCACATGCACTCGGTCCTCGTTCATTCTGCATATGAAGTAATGTGGAAACCGTTTTTCAATGACTTTCCTTTTCTTCAGCCTCAACTTCTACCCCACTTCCCACCTCCCATCTCCCCCCTCCCCCTCCTCCTTCTCTACGGGACTAATGCCTAGGCATAACCAACTTCGGGTCAGGTTTAGGCCTACCTTTTTTCATTCAAAATGAAATCAATCCTGGACTTACGGGGTCAATTAGGCCTATAAGGATCAATCCCTGGTCTTCGAGACAACTCATCGAGGACGTGTCACGTTAGGCCAATCGTAGGTCTATTCAGTCTCTTACGACCCATTTCAGAGAGGACGTGAAACGTTAGACCGATTGGATGCCTGTTTCGAGTTTCATGAACTATTTCAGGGCAGACGTGGAACGTTAGGCGTATCTTGAGTTCTTCGAACCATCTCGACTAGTTCTATGGAGAGAATGCCTCTAGGAAGCATGAAATACAAGCTGGGCACCATCCTGTTAATTAAGGGACTTAGATATATCTCCATATCCCACCAAATCGATCGGCCACTGCTAACCACCGTTTCAATCTCAGCTCATCTCATGAACTCAGCATTAAAATGTCTCATGCATAAAAAAAAACAGAAGATTCTGACACCGATACTAAGGCCGAAAAAGTGATAAATCTAACATAACTCTGGCACGGTAACCGGCAACACTGGGAACGGGACCGGAGCCATCACGCTCAGCCCAAATGAAAGACAGCTAATTTCAATTTAATGACGAAATGGTGCACCGTAAACAACAAAAAGGTCACTTTTCGTCATCTGCAAGTCAATGGGTGACATGCACAGAATCCGTTTAAGCTAAACTAACCTGATCCCACAACGGTCCCCTATGGAAATCAGTTTAACAGAGATAAACTTATTCTCGTTTTCATAATGGGCGTCTATGCCCATTATGAAAACGAATCAGTTTAAAAGTTAAACGAATCTGGTGCATGTCTTTATTTTGGTTGGTCTCTTCCTGAGGGGAAAACCCCTCAGGAGTGGCAACCCAGGGGGGAGAAAAAAAATTCCGGAATGAAATTTATGTCTTGAAAAAGCGAGATTTAGTGTTGGAGAACACTGAATCTCAATTTTTCAACTCCGGGGAGATGACGCATCAATTTTGATGGAGCGATTCTGTGTTGAGAGAGGAAGAAACTAGTCCAATATCGTTCCTGTTGATGCTTTCAAAGAGGAATACGAGGAGGTTGAATTTTGTTACCAGAAGGGGTTGAAGAAAGGTAACAGGCTCCTCAGCGCCTATTGATGCATTCTGCGAGAGTGCTCCATGCTCCCTCGTCTAATTTTCGTCTCAGCCCTTTAACCCACGATCCACAAGCATCCACAAGTATGTGAAACCGAACGAAGGAAGTGAAATGTTACCACCAGCATCGCTTAACGTACTCACGGACAAAAAATTACTCAGAAATGACGCACTACAGTTATTTGGAGATGAGCCATTCTACGAAACCGTCCATCTAGGTTATCCTCAATCACTATTTGCCGTTTCCAATGTCCTGTGGCCCCATGTCATTCGTTTCACTAGTGCATATGAGGAAAGAAAAATAAAATAAAATCTCATAAGTGTTTATGAGAAACTTTTCCTTATGATATGTCTTGGGTCACGTTTAGCCCGGATTCGGCCCCTCATGTTTAAATAATAATTTTGGTCCTGCAAAGGTTAACGGTCTCGAAACCGACCAGGGCTCAGCAGGGCCGGATTAAGAAGTTGTGAGGCCCAGGCCAAGTGAATTCCTGGCCCCCCAGCTACTTTACGCAAATACAATACTTTTTTGTATTAACGTTTTTAATTTCCTTCGGAGGCCCCCTGGAAGAGTGGGGCCCGGGGCAACTGCCCCCTTTGCCCCCCCCCCCCCCTTAATCCGGCCCTGGGGCTCAGGGTTCAGACTATGACAGCAGAAGCTCTTTCTTTCTTCCTTCGTTCTCTGTTTTTCTTCTCTTTTTGAAGCTCTCCAATTGAATCCCATTTCCAGTGAGAAATGCGTGACCGGAGGCCGGAAACTGGCTTTCTTTGCTGTCACGATATCGGCCGAGAATGACCAGCCATTCATGATTTTTTTTTACCATTCGGGCTCGAAGGTGACGGTCATATCAACTATAACTACTATTATTCAGACCATGCTAAGGAGCTTTTTCCTGCCATATTCCAAGCAACACGAATGCGACGGGCGCAGCGATGTTAGAAGGACCGAAAAGAGCCTCAAGGCATTTTCTCCCTTTAACTTACGTCGCTAAGGAATCGAAGGTCCTTGGACATTTTGGCTATTTCATTCCCAGTGATATTTCATTATTAGTCGATACCCTGTTACACGTACAGTATTCATGTAGCTTCGAGAACCATTTCCAAGGTTTCCGCTTCGACCTGACCCTCAAAACGATGCGTATCGCCGTCAAAATGAATCTTCCGCGTTCTTAAATTTTAGTTCTCCGAGGCGGAAGGAATTAGTAGTCTGCGAATTATTGATCCATTCATCGTCACGAATGATACACTTTTACGGATGGTTCGCCGGCTCTCGAGCTTCTTTTTGCTCACGTGACCCTGAATTTGAACATCATCGTGATACTCTCGAGCTTGAGGACACTAGTGTCTGGCCAAAGCGGAAACCTTGGAAGAGATATTTCACATTCCACTCTCGAAGGCGAGGAAGAGCTCGCAAACGGTATAACGAGAGACACTCCACCAGGATTTCATTCGTACCCGAGGACCCGATATAAACGATAACATGGATCGTCTCATCTAACGAGTCCCTCTTGGAAAGTCCTCGGTGACCCTATTAGCAAGTCCTCGGTGACCCTCCCGAATGACGACCGGTTCGCACGACACGGTTCCGTTTCATCGCATGCGGTCATTCCACGCGTGGTCTGCCTCGTGAGGAACGGGGAAACTTGTCGCATGAGGTCGACCACAACCGATTCCAGCCGACCCAAAAGCATCCTGACGACACGCGTGGGATTAAGAGTCCATCCGCAAGAATTCCTTGCGTTCGACCGCATGGATTGAAGCGATCCGTCCGGCTGCTCGCCGACAATCCCAGCAACTTTCCAC